TTCTGTGGACTGATGAAACAAAATTAGAACTGTTTGGGCCCATGGATCAACGCTATGTTTGGAGGAGGAAGAACAAGGCCTATGATGAAAATGAAAAGAACACCTTGCCTACTGTGAAGCATGGTGGAGGGTCAATCATGCTTTGGGGCTGTTTTGCTTCTGCAGGTACAGGGAAGCTTCAGCGTGTGCAAGGTACCATGAATTCTCTTCAGTACCAGGAGATATTGGATGGAAACGTGATGCAGTCCGTCACACACCTGAGGCTTGGGAGACGTTGGACCTTTCAACAGGACAATGATCCCAAGCATACCTCCAAGTCCACTAGAGCATGGTTGCAGAGGAAAGGCTGGAACATTTTGGAGTGGCCATCGCAGTCACCAGACTTAAATCCGATTGAGAACCTCTGGTGGGACTTAAAGAAAGCAGTTGCAGTGCGCAAGCCTAAGAATGTGACTGAACTGGAGGCCTTTGCCCATGAAGAATGGGCGAAGATACCCGTAGATCGCTGCAAGACACTTGTGTCAAGCTATGCTTCACGTTTAAAAGCTGTTATAACTGTAAAAGGATGCTGTACTAAGTACTAAGATTGAATGTCACTTGGGGGTTGAATAAAACTGATAATGCTGTGAGCACAGAAAAGACATTTGTGGTTATTTCATTATAACTGTTATGTTATATTTGTCTGACCTACAAGTGCCTCTTTAATGTAAATGTAAGCAAGATGACTGAATGATCAAAAGCAATGTCAAACTGGCCAAAACACTCAATTTTCAGTGGGGGTTGAATAATTTTGGCCACAACTGTATATGAGCTCCGCTCTCTGTACCCTAATGGGCTTAAATTGTCGACACTTGACTTAAACTGTTTTTATAGAGAATAGCTGATTTACTATTAAGTGTTGCTTGTACCCAGCTATACCGACTCATTGAGTAATATATTATCTATTTTCATATATATTCGTTATTTCTCCCTTTATATTTGCTGTTAGTGTTATAGTTAATTCATTTTAGCAAGATTTTATATCCATCTTTGCTATACTATTTTGAGTATGTCGATTTTTGGGATTGATCGACTTTTATTCCTTTTATTCCTTTTTTAATAAGTGATTATTTATTTTACGATCTCTTTACATTTATGTTATATTTTTGTATATGTGTATACATATATTTTACCTGTATATTGATGCACATTATGAGATATTAATTGAACTCTGTTATTACCTGTATTTTATCTGTATCTGACCATGTACTGTTCAGGATAGTCCTATTACGATGTTTTATAGATTGCCCCAGCTCTTTATTATTTATTCGGGTTCATCTATACTTGCTGTAAAGAATTTTTTAAAAAGATAACTTTATTGTTTTTAGATATGAGTTTTCTATTTCTAAATTACCTGACCTTACTGATGTATACTGTTTACGTGCGCCTGTACTACCAATAAAATAGCGCCATTCTATAAGAGACACTTCCTGTAGGTCAAGAGTATGATTTACACTGACTTGCATTGATATATATATTTGAAAACTGCCAACAAAATGTGCGTCGCCCTATGGTGGATATCATTGTAAACCGGATATTCACGGCAAAATGGCGCCGACGTTCTGCGCATAGCGCCGATCGCTATAGCAGTCGGGGAAATGGCCGCCGCGATAATCGCTGGCGCCTTTTCCACAAAGTTTTGGGCATATAAACTGCTGTTTTGGCGTCCCCCTATGCAAGCCCAGGACCCTTTGATAACGTGCACTGCACGAAACGCGTCAGAGGGCTGCATGGTCATCCTTTACAGTATCTGGTCAGTGTTCCATTTTACTCCTTTGTATTTATTTTCATGCTGCATCTTTAATAAACCTAGCTCATACGGTATTACACTATGTGGTGTCCCTTATTGGGCTCTCTTCTATGAGAGTCCCCACTTGCAGAATCTGCCTTAAAAGGGGACCCCGGATGGTGATATGCCTGAGATGCGCTTATGAAACTTGAAGCACATACCCAAGGGGGGATCTGGAAGGTGTAGGATTCTATCCCTATTGTCAGGAATGGACTGGCCAGCAATAGTGGGACTCAGCTGCCTTATGAGCTGCAGTACCAGGGCTGGCCAGCGGGTGCTCCCAGCAATCAGAAACTCAACCTTGCAGCCAGTCAAACACCTGGAACTAATTATACTGGTGTATTTAAGGGACATTCAGACCTGCAGACTCTGCCTTGGTGTTGTGTTTCTCTTGGGCCCTGTATCCTGTTCCTGCTCTCTGTTCCTGTCTGATTCTCTGCTGACCCTGCTCTGATCCCTGGCTTGTCTGACCATTCTCCTCTGCCTGACCCTCTGTACCACGCTGCCCGCTACCTGCTGAACCTGGCCTGTGACCCCGACCATTCTCCGCTTGCCCCCCCTGTACCTACCTGCCCGACTGATATTGACCCGGCCTGCCTGACGACGCTTGCATTGTACGTACTGTTATCTGTGGGTGGTTGGTTGGTTTGTTTGCACTGTGTTATGTTTTTAGTATTGCACTGCGTTTATGTTTGTATGGTTAGTGTTAATAAATTACATTGTTTATAACATATCTGAAGTCTGCGTTTTCCCTGCGTCAGTCACACACCTCTGGTCATACCCGGGAGCCCTGACATTACACCAAGGCCAATCCTGACCAGAAGTGGCTGCACAGGGAAGCCATCTTGGCTTGTTGATGGGAAGGATGGATCTGGATGAGGTTGCGTATTTATATCTGCTAGTTTTTGATGACAGGGAGTATGCTTATCAAACTCTGAAGGAGTATACCCGGGATGAACTGCTAGAATGTATACGGCTCGCTCATGTTCTAGTAGATCAGGGCACAGAGTTCTCTGAGGTGCAGCCTTTGATTGAGGTTTGTGCTGAGTTGGTTTCATCTGGTACCCCCGAATGCAGGGATGAATGCCATTTAGTGCAGATTCAGGTAGAGTCCCCTGGTGTGGTTATTAGAGGATGATGTGGGTTACTTTCTGGAGCGTTATTCCACATTGTTTACTAAGAGATTGTATAAACTCAGTGCAGTCATTGACCAGACAGGCTTTTTTAGCAGCCCCTTACTGCATTAAACTCAGGCTTAGGTGTAAGCTCACTTTGTTCAACCCATACTGCAGACATGGACAGATTTTTTGCACCCAGCCTCAGTCAGCTTACAAAGACCCAGTCCTGCTTCTAATCTATCTCCTCAAAGCTCTATTCCTGTATTCCCAACAGCTCCTCCAGTTACAGCCCAGTATACTTGGCTATCTACCGCATGTCAGTACCCTGTTCCCACTCGCTGCACCTATCCTGCCTTTAACCCAGTAAAGAAGCCCTCTGTTTTTTTTTTGTTCCATCCTCCCAGCTCTTCTCTGTCTCCAGCTGCTCCATTCATTTGCAGACCTGCGTTTACTTGCAGTGCCCCAGTAGTTAAAACCAGAGAAAAAAGCGAAAATTCTTTCCAACTTTACCATCCTGCCAGTATCCAAACCGGTGGTTAGCCTACCGTCTGAGAAACCTGCCTTCCGTGGTTTAAGCCTCTCCTGACTTTGTTTCAGCCTTGCGTCTTCAGACTAGACCTGATGCCTCTACTCAGCCTTGCCAATTCTTGACTCCAACCAGCCAAAGCCTCTGCCAAGTGACTGATTGCCCGCCTTTGATCCAGAATGTTGCCGGTACCTGATCCTGGTTCCCGGTTGCCGTGCAATTGACATTTCGGAGCCAGTATCGTGCAGATCAGGTAGAGTCCCTGGTGTGGTTATTAGAGGATGATGTTGTTACTTTCAGGAGCGTCATATTCCACATGTTCACCACAGGTACTAAGAGATTGTATAAACTCAGTGCAGTCATTGACCAGACAGGCTTTGTGTAAGCTCAGCTTTGTTCAACCCATACTGCAGACATGGACAGATTTGTTGCACCCAGCCTCAGTCAGCTTACAAAGACCCAGTCCTGCTTCTAATCTATCTCCTCAAAGCTCTACTCCTGTATTCCCCAACAGCTCCTCCAGTTACAGCCCAGTATACTTGGCTATCTACCGCATGTCAGTACCCTGTTCCCACTCGCTGCACCTATCCTGCCTTTAACCCTGTAAAGAAGCCCTCTGTAGCGACGACTGTTCCATCCTCCAGCTCTTCTCTGTCTCCAGCTGCTCCATTCATTTGCAGACCTGCGTTTACTTGCAGTGCCCCAGTAGTTAAAACCAGAAAAAAGCGAAAATTCTTTCCAACTAGTACCATCCTGCCAGTATCCAAACCGGTGAGCCTACCGTCTGAGAACCTGCCTTCCGTGGTTCAGCCTGATGCCTCTCTTCAGCCTGATGCCCTCTACTCAGCCTGATGCCTACTACTCAGCCTGATGCCTGTACTCAGCCTAAAGCCCTACTACTCAGCCTGAAGCCTCCACTCAGCCTGATGCCTCCACTCAGCCTGAAGCCTCTACTCAGCCTGAAGTCTCTACTCAGCCTGAAGCCTCTACTCAGCCTGAAGCCTCTACTCAGCCGGATGCCTCTACTCATCCGGATGCCTTCTACCCAGCATAATGAACTGATCCAGCCTGATGATCCTATTAGGCCAGTTGACTCGATGCCCGCTGTTGATCCAGATGATCCGGTACCTGATCCGGTGCCCGCTGTTGTGCCAATTGACTCGGAGCCCGCTGTCGTACCTGGTGACTCGGTGCCCACTGCCTTGCCAGATGACGCGGTGCCCGCTGGCGAGCCAAATGACCTGATGCCTGGTGACCCAGTGCCCGCTGTCATACCTGGTGACCCGATGCCCGCTGTCGAGCCAGACGATCCAATGCCTGGTGACCCGGTGCCCACTGCCTTGCCAGATGACGCGGTGCCCGCTGGCAAGCCAAATGACCTGATGCCTGGTGACCCAGTGCCCGCTGTCATACCTGGTGACCCGATGCCCGCTGTCGAGCCAGACAATCCGGTACCTGATGACCCGGTGCCCACTGTCGTGCCTGTTGGCTCGGAGCCCACCCCTTGCCAGATGACGCAGTGCCCGCTGTCGAGCCAAATGACCCTGATGCCTGGTGACCCGATGCCCGCTGTCCAGCCAGACGATTCAATGTCTGCCCCAGTGCCCGCGGTCATGCCAGTTGACTCAGAGCCCACTGCCTTGCCAGATGACGCGGGTGCTCGCTGTCGAGCCAAATGACTTGATGCCTGGTGACCGATGCCCCCTGTCCCAGTCAGACGATCCAATGTCTGACCCAGTGCCAGCGGTCATGCCAGTTGACTCGGAGCCCACTGTCGTGTGCCTGGTGACTCGGTGCCCGCCGCTTCGCCTGGGGGCCCGAGACCTGTCGCTCTGCCTGGGGGTCCGGCGCCCGCCGCCCCCCCGCCTGGGGGCCCTGAGACCTGACGCTCCGCCTGAGGGCCCGAGACCTGTCGCTCCACCTGGGGGTCCGGCGTCCGGCGCCCCGCCCCGCTCCGCCTGAGGGCCCCCGAGACCTGTCGCTCTGCCCTGGGGGTCCAGCGCCCGCCGCTCCGCCTGAGGGCCCGAGACCTGTCGCTCCGCCTGGTTCCAGCGCCCGCCGCTCCGCCTGAGGGCCCGAGACCTGTCGCGCTCCGCCTGGAGGTCCGCACCCGCCGCTCCGCCTGAGGGCCCGAGACCTGTCGCTCCGCCTGGGGGCCCGAGACCTGTCGCTCCGCCTGGGGGCCCGGCGCCGCGCCCGCCGCTCCGCCTGAGGGCCCGAGACCTGTCGCTCCACCTGGGGGTCCGGCGCCCGCCGCTCCGCCTGAGGGCCCGAGACCTGTCGCTCCCGCCTGGGGGTCCGGCACCCGCCGCTAGCCTCCGCCGCCTGAGGGCCTGAGACCTGTCGCTCCACCTGGGGGCCCGAGACCTGTCGCTCCGCCTGGGGGCCCGGCGCCCGCCGCTCCGCCTGAGGGCCCGAGACCTGTCGCTCCCCCTGGGGGTCCGATGATAACCTGGCGCCCGCCGCTCCGCCTGAGGGCCCGAGACCTGTCGCTCCACCTGGGGGTCCGGCGCCCCGCCGTTCCGCCTGAGGGCCCGAGACCTGTCGCTCCACCTGGGGGTCCGGCGCCCCGCCGCTCTGCCTGAGGGCCCGAGACCTGTCGCCCCGCCTGGGGGCCCGATGCCTGTCGCCCCGCCTGGGGGCCCGACGCCTGTCGCCCCGCCTGGGGGCCCGATGCCTGTCGCCCCTCCTGGGGGCCCGGCACCCCCGCCGCCTCCGCCTGGGGGGGCCCGATGCCGGTCGCCCTGCCTGGGGGCCCGATGCCGGTTGCCCCGCCCGGGGGCCCGGTGCCTGCTGCCCTGCCCGATGTGCCTCTGCCCGGAGTCCAGCCCGATGTCTCCTCTGCCCGGAGTCCAGCCCGATGTGCCTCTGCCCGGAGTCCAGCCCGATGTGCCTCTGCCCGGAGTCCAGCCCGATGTGCCTCTGCCCGGAGTCCAGCCCGATGTGCCTCTGCCCGGAGTCCAGCCCGATGTGCCTCTGCCCGGAGTCCAGCCCGATGTGCCTCTGCCTGGAGCCCAGCCCGATGTGTGCCTCTGCCTGGAGCCCAGCCCGATGTGCCTCTGCCCGGAGCCCAGCCCGATGTGCCTCTGCCCGGAGTCCTGCCCGATGTGCCTCTGCCCGGTGTGCCGCTGCGCCTCTGCCCGGTGTGCCGCTGCCCGGAGTCCTGCTTCCCCGTGGTGTGCCAGTCTTTGATATCCCGCCAGTTACCAGACCCGGGCGGTGGAACATTTTGCCCAGCTAGGACTGTTTGGAGCGTCCTGAGGCCGCTCCTTGAGGGGGGGGTACTGTCAGGAATGGACTGGCCAGCAAGAGTGGGACTCAGCTGCCTTATGAGCTGCAGTACCAGGGCTGGCCAGCGGGTGCTCCCAGCAATCAGAGACTCAACCTTGCAGCCAGTCAAACACCTGGAACTAATTATACTGGTGTATTTAAGGGACATTCAGACCTGCAGACTCTGCCTTGGTGTTGTGTTTCTCTTGGGCCCTGTATCCTGTTCTGCCTGGGGACCTGGGACCTGACGCTCTGCCTGAGGGCCCGAGACCTGTCGCTCCACCTGGGGGTCCGCGGCGCCCGCCGCTCCGCCTGAGGGCCCGAGACCTGTCGCTCCGCCTGGGGGTCCGGCGCCCGCCGCTCCGCCTGAGGGCCCGAGACCTGTCGCTCCGCCTGGGGGTCCAGCGCCCGCCCGCTCCGCCTGAGGGCCCGAGACCTGTCGCTCCGCCTGGGGGTCCAGCGCCCGCCGCTCCGCCTGAGGGCCCGAGACCTGTCGCTCCGCCTGGGGGTCCGGCACCCGCCGCTCCGCCTGAGGGCCCGAGGCTCCCTGTCGCTCCGCCTGGGGGCCCGAGACCTGTCGCTCCGCCTGGGGCCCGGCGCCCGCCGCTCCCGCCTGAGGGCCCGAGACCTGTCGCTCCGCCTGGGGGTCCGGCGCCCGCCGCTCCGCCTGAGGGCCCGAGACCTGTCGCTCACGCCGCCTGGGGGTCCAGCGCCCGCCGCTCCGCCTGAGGGCCCGGGACCTGTTCGCTCCGCCTGGGGGCCCGAGACCTGTCCTCCGCCTGGGGGTCCAGCGCCCGCCGCTCCGCCTGAGGGCCCGAGACCTGTCGCTCCGCCTGGGGGTCCGGCACCCGCCGCTCCGCCTGAGGGCCCGAGACCTGTCGCTCCGCCTGGGGGCCCGAGACCTGTCGCTCCGCCTGGGGGCCCCCGGCGCCCGCCGCTCCGCCTGGGGGCCCGAGACCTGTCGCTCCACCTGGGGGTCCGGCGCCCGCCGCTCCGCCTGAGGGCCCGAGACCTGTCGCTCACCTTCCCACCTGGGGGTCCGGCGCCCGCCGCTCCGCCTGAGGGCCCGAGACCTGTCGCTCCGCCTGGGGGTCCGGCACCCGCCGCTCCGCCTGAGGGCCCGAGACCTGTCGCTCTCGCTGGGGGCCCGAGACCTGTCGCTCCCCTGGGGGCCGAGCGCCCGCCGCTCCGCCTGAGGGCCCGAGACCTGTCGCTCCCCCTGGGGGTCCGGCGCCCGCGCTCCGCCTGAGGGCCCGAGACCTGTCGCTCCACCTGGGGGTCCGGCGCCCGCCGCTCCGCCTGAGGGCCCGAGACCTGTCGCCCCGCCTGTAGGCCCGATGCCCTGTCGCCCCACCTGGGGGCCCGACGCCTGTCGCTCCGCCTGGGGGCCCCGCCGCCCCCTGGGGGCCCGATGCCTGTCGCCCCGCCTGGGGGCCCGGCGCCCGCCGCTCCGCCTGGGGGCCCGATGCCGGTCGCCCTGCCTGGGGGCCCGATGCCGGTTGCCCCGCCCGGCGGGGCCCGATGTGCCTGCTGCCCGCCCGATGCCCGATGTGCCTCTGCCCCGGAGTCCAGCCCGATGTGCCTCTGCCCGGAGTCCAGCCCGATGTGCCTCTGCCCGGAGTCCAGCCCCCGATGTGCCTCTGCCCGGAGTCCAGCCCGATGTGCCTCTGCCCGGAGTCCAGCCCGATGTGCCTCTGCCCGGAGTCCAGCCCGATGTGCCTCTGCCCGGAGTCCAGCCCGATGTGCCTCTGCCCGGAGTCCAGCCCGATGTGCCTCTGCCCGGAGTCCAGCCCGATGTGCCTCTGCCCGGAGTCCAGCCCGATGTGCCTCTGCCCGGAGTCCAGCCCGATGTGCCTCTGCCTGGAGTCCAGCCCGATGTGCCTCTGCCCGGAGTCCCTGCCCGATGTGCCTCTGCCCGGTGTGCCGCTGCGCCTCTGCCCGGTGTGCCGCTGCCCGGAGTCCTGCCCGGTGTGCCAGTCTTTGATATCCCGCCAGTTACCAGACCCGGGCGGTGGAACATTTTGCCCAGCTAGGACTGTTTGGAGCGTCCTGAGGCCGCTCCTTTGAGGGGGGGGTACTGTCAGGAATGGACTGGCCAGCAATAGTGGGACTCAGCTGCCTTATGAGCTGCAGTACCAGGGCTGGCCAGCGGGTGCTCCCAGCAATCAGAGACTCAACCTTGCAGCCAGTCAAACACCTGGAACTAATTATACTGGTGTATTTAAGGGACATTCAGACCTGCAGACTCTGCCTTGGTGTTGTGTTTCTCTTGGGCCCTGTATCCTGTTCCTGCTCTCTGTTCCTGTCTGATTCTCTGCTGACCTGCTGCTCTGATCCCTGGCTTGTCTGACCATTCTCCTCTGCCTGACCCTCTGTACCACGCTGCCCGCTACCTGCTGAACCTGGCCTGTGACCCCGACCATTCTCCGCTTGCCCCCCTGTACCTACCTGCCCGACTGATATTGACCCGGCCTGCCTGACGACGCTTGCATTGTATGTACTGTTATCTGTGGGTGGTTGGTTGGTTTGTTTGCACTGTGTTATGTTTTAGTATTGCACTGCGTTTATGTTTGTATGGTTAGTGTTAATAAATTACATTGTTTATAACATATCTGAAGTCTGCGTTTCCCTGCGTCAGTCACACACCTCTGGTCATACCCGGGAGCCCTGACACCTATCTTGGCAACGGATGATTGCTTTCTGATATTACAGGATAAAACCTACATGCGTTTTTTTGACGCACTTCTGGTGAGTGCGTAATTCTTACCTCAGATTCACCGTGTGCTGCACAGAATCTTATCCCACACACCTACTAGGATCGTTTGGATCCCCACTTCTGATTAATTTTGAGACTATTATTCATCTCATCTAAGTTCACCGCAGTGTGATTTGATATTGGCACTTTTGTGTTTTTTATATATTTATATGTTATTATAGCGCTGCACCTTATATATGGTCTCTATATATATATGTCTATATACTGCATATTAGAATGATCATTGGGCGCTTTGTGTCATGTGACACCCCTGTGACATGTGAATTTGCTTTCTCCTCTTTCTGGAACAGAATGTGCTCCAGGGAGAGAAGATTGCATTATTTCCTGTGCCTGTGTAATGTAAACACAGGCACCGGCTGAGCTCTGATTTGGTACAGTCAATCAGCAGGCCCAGTCTAAACATCATTGGCCTGAATCTGGTGAGTGATCAGGGCTGTACCGAATCACAACGCCCATGAACACCACAGGGATGCGGATTATGTATATATACACACACACACACACACACACACACACACACACACACACACACACAGTTTTGCACAGGGAGTCCACCCTGTAGCAGTAAAACTGCTATAGAGTGGAGGAAAATTGGTTAAGCTACAGAAAATGTAACCCCCTACATCACTAGGCCATTTTTGCTATACCGCACTGCACTACTTTAACTGGTAATTGTGCCCACGTGAAATTTATATAAAATTTTTCACACAAATAAAGATTTCTTTTGGTGGTATTTTATAACCTCTGTGGTTTTTATTTTTTGTGCTATAGACTGAAAATTTAGAAAAAAATTTGATTTTTTTTCTACATACTTACCTGTTTCTGCTATAAAAACATATCCAAAAAATCTAAATACTTAAATGAATTCTGCTACATGCCTTTGGAAAAGAGAAATCCCAATAAGTGTATATTGACTGGTTTGTGTGAAAGTTAAAGTGTCATGCAAAAGTTCATTTATTTCAGTAATGCAACTTAAAAGGTGAAAACTAATATATGAGATAGACTCATTACATGCAAAGCAAGATACTTCAAGCCGTGATTTGTCATAATTGTGATGATTATGGCTTACAGCTCATGAAAACCCCAAATCCTCAACTTCAGAAAATTAGAATATATTGTGAAAAGGTGCAATATTCTAGGCTCAAAGTGTCCCACTCTCAGGGGTGGACTGACCATTTGGAAACTCGGGCACTGCCCGAGGGTCCGGGGTCAGTAGAGATTTTGGAGCACTTCATGCTTCCAGACGAGCTGTATAGGGATGCTGACTTCATTTTCCAGCAGGACTTGGCACCTGCCCACACTGCCAAAAGCACCAAAACCTGGTTCAATGACCGTGGGATTACTGTGCTTGATTGGCCAGCAAACTCACCTCTATGGGGCATTGCCAAGAGAAAGATGAGAGACATGAGACCGAACAATGCAGAAGAGCTGAAGGCCGCTATTGAAGCATCCTGGTCTTCCATAACACCTCAACAGTGCCACAGGCTGATAGTTTCCAAGCCACGCCGCATTGAAGCAGTAATTTCTGCAAAAGGGGCCCAAACCAAGTACTGAGTACATATGCATGCTTATACTTTTCAGAGGTCCGATATTGTTCTATGTACAATCCTTGTTTTATTGAGGGTGATCAAGGGGTTGAATGTGCGCCTAACAAGTGTATTATGTGTAAAGTGTGCTGCTTTTTGCTAATGATCTCTTTGCTTTTCATCTCTACAAAGCAGGGATGAGAAACTGAGATTGCTCACTCTGTACAGAGCTGTTGATTGTCAACACAGAGCTCTGGGCTATGATTGTAAAACAGCCGATCAGCAGATACCAGCCATTAAACATTGGCCTGGACTTGTCGAAAGACTCCTTCTGTGTACAATGACAGCAGGTACTGGCCAGTCAGGCATGCACCCAAAACCCTGTAAGTAGGCAGTGACATACAGGTACACTGCTTTGCCTACAGCGGCCATCGGTCCACACCACATTGTGGACGGGTGGTAGCTAAGTGGTTAAAGGGGAAAATAAAAATATTAAGATTACAATAATGTGGTTGCATATATTCTGCACACCCTTAAAAAAATACTTTGTAGAAGCACCTTTTGATGTTATGACATCATTCAGCCTTTTTTGGAGGCAGAGTCTATCAGCCTATTACAATTAGGATTGAAAATCTTTGCCCACTCTTCCTCAAAAGTGCTCCAAATCTGTTGGATGGCGAGGGTATCCCCTGTGCACAGCCCTCTTCAGGTCACCTCACAGATTTTCAATTGGATTCAGGTTTGGACTCCGGCTGGGCCATTCCAAACCTTTGATCTTCTTCTAGTGAAGCCATTCTTTTGTTGATTTGGAGGTATGTTTTGGGTCATTGTCATGATGAAAAGTGAAATTCCTCTTCATGTTCAGCTTTTTAGCAGAGGATTTAAGGTTTTATGCCTAATTTGACTATTATTTGGAACTGTTCATAAATGCCTTCACTGTACAGCGCTGCAGAATGTGTCAGAGCTATATAAATGTATAATAGCGTGTGACTGTGGTGGGATATTAAAGTGTAAGCTCCTCTGGTATAGAGACTGATGTGGCTGGCCTGGTTTTCTCTGTACAGTGTTGTGGAATATGTTAGAGCTATATAAATAAAGTAAATAATAGCAGTGTATGATTCTACCCAGGTAATTGGTAATTTATCTGGTAAAATAAGCAAATCATATGCAGGAGAAATGTAGCAGAAAAGCCAGTTAATTTACACAAAAATAACATATCCTTGCATCCTATACGTCAACCATGTATAATAACAATTACCAATTATTAATAACACCAATTAGCTGCAGTAACTAATTCTTCAAGAGGCCATTCTATTTTCAGGTCAAATAAAATTGTAAATAGAAGAAATATTTTATAGCGAAAAGCTTCTTACTTGCTGAATCCGAACCTTCAAGTTGAGGAGTTTGCTCACCCACTATTAATTCAGAGTTCATCTGCTTTTCTTAATTCCAGCTCCAGGCAAATAAAAAATTATCCCTTGCGTTGGCTGTGCCCACACTGAAAGGGGTAATTGTCTGCCCAAGCTAATACTCTTCTCCACAGCTAGATTGGTCGCAGCAGCTTCTACACCTCTGCGCTCTAGTGATCTAGGGCAGGCCTCAAAATTTCCACTTGCCTGCTTGCAGTTGGCGAGTGGAAATAATGTGGGGGTGAGTGTATACCTGCTTCTAAAAGTAAGATAGGTATCCCTTGAATATTGGTATCCCTGCAACTACTGAAAGCAGTTTAACTCCATGAATGCTGGGCAGTGGCATTGTTACAGGGCAACTACCCCCCCTAGATTATTCCTTGCCCCCCCATGTGCCCCCCCCGCATTAAAATTAGGC